TTCACAGTCCAACACTCTACCTATTGAGATAAACTGAATGGCTTCTTGAGTCTTGTTATTCTAGATAACCAAGTAAATTATACAGAAAGTGAGAAGGTGGAGGTTATGATTCATTTTCTTTTTTCTTTGAGGCTATTTTTGGCATATCGGCCAAGTGCATATTATTATGTCTACTTTAATGATGTTGTGCATGCATTTTTATCTACAAGAAATACCTGTCAAAAATGTTCTCTGAAAAAGAGATCTATGTATAACTTGCATTCTAGCAGATTTTTATCTTCTTTTTTTTTCATCTGATGTAATTACACCTGAAAACAAATGCGGAAGACAGAAATATGTTAGAGCAATTAAATCCTTGCATTATATGTTTCTCTCTATTACAGCCTCTCATCTCATCAATTACAGGGGAAATGGTTATTTCTGTAGAATTGGAAATTTTATAATAAAAAAATGGTGTTTCCAGATATAATCCAACCATAAATCTTACATAATTGCAAACAAATAAGGATTACCTTGGTGAAGTGAACTTATTTAGAAGGAAAATGCATCAATTGTAAAAAATAAAATGGCTGAAAAAAGTCAATATTTATTATGAATTGAAGGAATAAAGATAATATTTAAAATGTCAAAAACATTGTTTGATTTTTATATTTAGCATTCTTAGTTTACATAAATATCCAAGGAAAAAATGTTATTTAAAAACAAAATGAATGCACAGGCGAATTTCTTTTATTTTTGTTTAAGTTAAAGCATCTGGAGATTGAAAGAAAATTTTCATCTTGTTATAAAAATATAAATACATGTATTTATGTATAGTGCAATTGAAAGGAAATTCAGTTTTTTACAAAATTCAAATTATGAAATATTCTGCACGAGTGACTGTGAATACCTCTTTTGATAGTTTATTTATTAGCTTATCCACCTGGATATTCTGTATATACATGTATACTGGTTACTAAGTTACCTTCCCTGGTAATATGTTTACAAGGTTATCACACCTTACATTTTGTATAAAAGCTTCACCATCACCCCTGCTCCCACTCCCTCAGATATTTGTTATAAGGTTACCTCCCCTTATTTTCTATAAAAAAATGTAAGGTTGCCTCCCTTGATTATCTGTATGTAAGGTTACCTTACTTGATAATCTGTGTAAACAAAGTTACAATGTCTGTGCTTTTTTAGGCTTTTTTCAAAACTTGTAATCCTATAACTATCCAACTGATGTATAAGGTCATTAGTTGTAGTTGCAGTTATAATATACCCTTTTATGCCAGAAATAATGCACAGATTGACACTTAAATTAATAATTTTGTGCCATTATGGAGCATCAACTTTATTTACACTGTCATCATAAATAACTCATCCAAAAAATGTTTTCAATATCTTCTCTTCAAATATTTTGAAAAAGTTCTTGAGAATAACAAAATTGCTGATATATAAGGCAAAATGGGAATACATGTACCTATGCACTAAAAATCATAGTCAGTTGGTTCCAATTTGAAAAGTGTCAAAGACTGAATACATGTACTACCCAAATTGGTACTTTTTAGGGAACATGAGACATGTTGAAATTTTAATTATCTCACATGAACTTACAATTTTCATGCAAAATTTTGTTGTTTTCATTGCTTCTGTTGGATCTTATGTTCAGAACATTTTTTTGGTGTTGAGTTTACATTGCACCAACACAGTATAGGTCATATGGATTTACTGGTGGGGCGACCTCAGGTGCCCCTCTGTGCAGAAGAACCACCAATGTTCCATAAGCTAGCTAGATAGTTTTCTCACTTGTAGTATACGATGATGTTTACTCGGCTCGAACCTACTGTGGTGAGAGGCAAGTGGTTTGAAGTCAACGATTTAAACCACTTGGCCATGTCAGAGTTATTATAATGAAGAGTTTGTTTTGTTTCAGATCAAAGATGCTCATGCATGTCTTGTGTTAGCAAACAAATATTGTGACGACCCTGACCAGGAAGATGCATCTAACATTATGCGTGTAATATCCATCAAGAACTATCATGCTGATATTAAAGTTATCGTTCAGCTTCTGCAATACCATAATAAGGTAAATATACTTCAATAAAGAAAAGAAAATGAATGAGGTAAATATTTAACCCAGGTAAGAGTAGAAAAAAGAAATGGAATAAGATAAATGTAGACCAGCTACGAGTAGAGAATAGAAAAGGAATAAGATAATGTAGGCCAGCTAAGAGAAGAGAAAAGAAAAGGAAGAAGATAAATTTAGGCCAGCTAAGAATTGAGAAAAGAAGTGGAATAAGATAAATGTAGGCCAGCTAGGATTAGAGAAAAGAAAAGGAATAAGATAAATGTAGGCCAGCTAAGAGTAGAGAATAGAAAAGGAGGAAGATAAATTTAGGCCAGCTAAGAGAAGAGAAAAGAAATAGAATAAGATAAATTTAGGCCAGCTAAGAGTAGAGAATAGAAAAGGAATAAGATAATGTAGGCCAGCTAAGAGAAGAGAAAAGAAAAGGAATAAGATATACATGTATTTAGGCCAGCTAAGAGTACAGTAAAACTTGTCATATGTGACTTTCCATGGGACCATACCAAAAAGGTCACATATGACAGGGAGTCTTTTAATCCAGGTTCCCCAAAAAAATCATCAGTTGTTTCAAAATGCTATTTTTACTTGTTTGTCCTTTCTTTGATTGTGTTTTCTTCGTGTTACATATATGTTATATTTAAATATGGTTTGTTGAAGATATAAGATAATTTTTATTTAAATACTTTATTATACATGTAGTTAAAATGTTTTTAAAAATAAAAATGTTTACATGCATAATTATTCAAATACAATGTATTATAGATATAAAATTTTAAAAGAAGAGTTTTTAATTTTGATTTCCAGTCTTCCACAGTTTTAACATTCACATCTCCTCTTTCGCCACTCAGTCAGTCATGGTCCCATATGATATACAGTTTCTTAATTTGAAAGAGTCAAGCCAACCATTTGAGGCCTTAAATTCAGTCTTTCCCAGCTGTTGGGCAAATTCAATTGCTTTTGTCTGTATCATTGGACCTGATGTTTGATGTTTCTTCCCGTTACATCACGACACCATGCCAGTGTAAGGTCGTTGACTTCTTCATTCCCTGGAAAAAGAAGGAGGAATGAATTTTCTGCTCATACATGCAAAGTTCAGACAGTTAAAAGTTTAAGTTTGGGAGTGTAGTGTATAAACAGGCATTGTTGTCTTGTAAATCTTGGCTTTATTTTTCCTATCAATTAAGTGAAAAAATACGATGAGAGCGAATAACGAAAAAAAATACCTGTGAGATAACGAAGACGTTTTGAAGAATTGGGCATGTTGTTTTCAAAGTCGCTCAAAATGTCGGCCTTTCGCTATCTGGGTTTTGCCAACGCCCATTTCCTCAACAATTTTGTAGGCTGGGGTGCCGGCATCAAACTTTTTGATTGCCTGAATTTTTTCTTCAAGAGTCAGGACAACTTTTTTACGTGCTTTGTCAGCCATATTTGTATGATCTGAAGTGCCCGGATGTTTGTACATGTTTCTATCCGCACGTTCTATCAGTTTCTATCCGCACGTTATCAGACGGTTGTAATTTACTGTTTGGTCAAGTAGATGTAATCATGAGATAATTTATTTTAAACTTGGACAGTTATAATGACTAATAGCTTCGTAATTATCAATAAACACCTTTTGCAATGGTGATAAACATTCGAGACTATGGCGCTCAATTTTGACGGACAAATGTCAATTGAAAGCGAGAAGTGTGAAAAACATAATTCTTGTGAAAATGAAAAAGTCGTTTAATTCGGTCATAGAAATGTAACGGGACGCTAAATTTAAGGTCGTTAGTCGCGTCAGACAGGGAGTCGTTTAATTCAGTGACTTTATATAGTGATTTACGTTGGGCGGTCTAAAATAAGGTCGTATACGACAGGAAGTCGTTTAAATCAGTGAGTCGCTATGGCAAGTTTGACTGTACATGTAATATTTAGGCAAGCTAAGAGTAAAGAAAAGAAATGGAATAAGATAGATATAGGCCAGCTAAGAGTAAAGTAAAGAAAAGAATTAAGATAAGCATAGGTCAGCTAAGAGTAGAAAAAAGGTAAGGAATAAGATAGATATAGGCCAGCTAAGAGTAAAGAAAAGAATAGGAATAAGATAAATGTAGGCCAGCTAATGGTAAAGAAAAGAAAAGAAATAAGATAAATATAGACCTGCTAAGAGTAAAGTAAAGAATATAGGTCGTGATAGACCAAAGATAAGGTGTCAACAATATAATATACTTTCTTGACTTGTGATCTTGAAATGATATTGACCTTGTCACTACATTTACTTTCACAATATCAATAATATAAAAGTGAAGTAGATCAATTGATTGAGGTTAATGTTAGTGCATGCATTGCTGATATATTTTCTGTCAGACAATCTTGTGGTGTGCTTAACATAAGTCATTGCTCTTTCAATACCACAATATGATTTCATTAATACCATGATATGATTTTGTTCAATTTGATACAATGTTATAAAGTTCATGTTGGCACACGTTGTCATAAAGCAATGATTTTTTTAATTCAAGATATTATTTCTATCTAATATGATGCTATCTAGTCTATGTTAATACATTTTGTCATGCAAACTTTAAGTTAACCTAGATTTGTAACCATTCATAGCATTGAAGCAAATGTTACAGTATGTGCATACATCCATATGTATTGTTGAATTTTTGGTACTCTTTTAATAGTGAACATTCAAAATAATTGTTTGCACAAATTAAGTAGTATCACAATGTGTTGATACAGGAGGTATAATCTTAAGGGTCACATTTTCACGGGCAAAGGTCAAAATATGGCCTTGACATTACAAGTGTAAAAATTGAATACAAAGGCATTTATAAAGCTGTTCAGAGCTATTGTGTAACACATGCGAAAAATGTGAAAATCTTGAAATAACTGTGATGGTTGGAATTACATCTGTAACATTATTGATATTATAAGAATTATTTTATTTGAATCCAAACTCGATCACACATTTTTTTTAATGTGCATTACCATTTACAAGACATGTATAATCATAAGATATTTAATGTATTTTCTACATTTTTAGACACTAAAAACCTTTTCTGTATGTATAATGGAAATGACATAATTTTCTGGTAATCAAACTTTTGGCAGCACACAAGTATAAAAATCATTATACTCTCTTAAAACATTATGATTGAAAATTGCAAAGCAAATTCATGATTATTTTTCATTGTGCAAATGTCATATAGACTCTTATTTCATCTGTCTACAATTTGTTCTAGAAATACGAGCTGTATAGAGAAATATTTGTATATAAGAGATATATAATATAATATGTGTGATATTACAGGCTTATTTATTGAACATTCCAAGCTGGGATTGGAAACGAGGAGATGACGCTGTATGTATAGCTGAACTAAAGCTGGGTTTTATAGCTCAAAGTTGTCTGGCACCCGGCTTCTCTACGCTGATGGCTAACCTGTTTACCATGAGGTCATACAAACCAGTAAGACATACATTTATAATATTGTCCTGTTTTTATATTGTGACTGTGTGATATGTTTTATGCACCACATGGTAAATCTCAGAAAATTAGATAATATTGTATCAGTATGCTTTGGGGTTTTTTTATTTTTAAAAAAACAAATATTCTGCAAGATGAAGAGCAGAGACACCTCAGGAAAATAAGTGCATTATGTTGTTAAAAACATGTTATACCACAGAGTCAATACTTTTGACAGAATCTGATACTTTGATCAACAACTATTGTAAGAGCAAACGAAAACCTTTTTAATTAGCAAGTGTGTTTTCTAATGTGAATTTTTACAGCAGACGGCATTCACTTTACAGACTCTGCTCTTTGACTTGTAAAAGAAATGTCTGCTTAAAAAGGAAATGAAAAACTAATGTGAATTTTTACAGCAGATGGCATTCACTTTACAGACTCTACTCTTTGACTTGTAAAAGAAATGTTCGCTTAAAAGGAAATGAAAAACTATCAGATTGATTAGCTAAATAAAGATCAAGATTTTTCTAAATGTGAACTGTGCAATGAAGATTAGCTAAATGAATATTTATGACTGAATATTTTGTTCTTACCTTTTATGAGCATTATATCTGCATTTATTGTAGTAACAAGGAAATTTGACATTTTCTACTCCTATATTAACCACTATATTAACCAAAATCTGTCAGGAATACTGTCCTCTCTTTTAAAATGTTTCAAATGTTTTCCCATAAAAGTAAAGTCCTTTTGCACTTATCTATTATGCCTTTATAAAAACCAAGCATAGCAGGTAGTGACGACTATAATGTAAATAAATTTTATTTTTACACATTTTCATTTTGTCCAGACAGCTATTTTTAGAAATACATGTATATATATGCACTGAAAGGGTTCAAGACAGAACAATAGTCAGAAAGAAAAAAATGATAAATATGTACCACAGTAGGAAATGTTGTTTCTTCCTTTAGGTTTTACAATTTTCCTTTTGTCTTGTTTGACCAAATTATCAATTTCCTATGTAATAGTGAAAGCTGCAGGGGCTTTGTCTGACACTCAGACAGTTTGTTCTCTAGTTACTAAAACAGATTTCTTGTATAAAAGATGACCTTGGACACCGAAGAGCAATTTTCGTCCAAATTAGTTTTCTCAGAATGCAATTTTGGCAATGCCAGACTAGCTGTTATTTGATTATAAAGAGTATAGAAATAACCAATGATCCCCGACTGATTTCAAATCTTGAAATGTAACAGTGGGTTTATTTTAATCAAATATCAACATTGCAGAGCCTTGTTGCCGAGTTAGATTACTTTAGTAAACATATTGTCTGGTTATACATAGGCCTGGAAAATTTTAATATATAATGATCTTAGCTTGACAATGGACTCGTATAAGTTTAGTTCATGTCTTATGTAAAATGTCTTAAATTATGATTAAGATATTAACTGTCTGAAAAGAAAGGAAAGTTAAGGCTGTGATAAGGCGTAAACATTTTTTTCGAGACACAACTCCTACATTTATCAACGGATTTCAACCAAAATTTTCACAGAATGATTGCCATCAAGGGCCATTGTGAATAATATTGTGTACTAATTTTGTGATTTGATTACTTTTGATATCAATGGGTTTTTTTTTCTCACATAATGTGATATGTTGGTAGAAAACCTGGTTTTGTCACAATTCCTTGCCCCTTTTTTTGTGATGCTAAGGTCACAAATTTAAATACTATTATTATGCTGTGGAGAATAAACTATAACACTATATTTGTGTTAAACTCCTGATGTTTGTTTTGTATGTGAAGCTTTATTTGCAGCAATTTTGATTATTAAAGTAATAATTAATCATTTCGAGCAATAAAAACATTAATTTTTTGAACTTAAATGTTACAAAATGAATATAATGTAAAACATTCAACATTTTTATGATAAAACTGTATTGTTTCTGGGGAAAAGAAAGGGTAACTGTACACTGATTATTTTTCTGTTACAGTCAGTGGAAATGCCACAGTGGCAGAATGATTACATGAGGGGAACAGCAATGGAGATGTATACAGAATTTTTATCCAGCTCATTTAATGGCCTTACATTCCCAGAAGCAGCAGAGTGAGTAGTTTTTGTTTTGTGTGTGTGTGTTATTTTTCTTTTTAAAATTTAATTATTTTAACTATTGCATATATAACAAATACATATTTAACACTGTCGGAAGTAAGAATTGCTGTTATTGTTTGTTATTTTAGAGTAATAATTGCTGTTACTGTCTGTTATTTAAGAGTTATTATTGCTATTACTGTCTGTTATTTAAGACTTATAATTGCTGTTACTGAAGTTGTTATTTAAAAGTAATAATTGCTGTTACTGTCTGTTATTTAAGACTTACAATAATTGTTGTTACTGGCTGTTATTCAATAGTAATAATTGATGTTACTCTCTGTTATTTAAGACTTATAATTGCTGTTACTGTCTGTTATTTAAGACTTATAATTGCTGTTATTTTAGAGCGATAATTGCTGTTATATGACAGTAAAAATTGCTGTTATTAGCTGTTATTTAAGAGTTATAATTGCAGAAACTGGCTGTTATTTAAGAGTTTTAATTGCTGTTTTTGGCTGTTATTTAAGAGTTAGAATTGCTGTTATTTAAGAATAATAATTGCTGTTATTGGCTGTTATTTTAGAGTTAAAATTGCTGTTATTGGCTGTTATTTAAGAGTAATAATTGCTGTTATTGGCTGTTATTTAAGAGTCAAAATTGCTGTTATTGGCTGTTACGTAAGACTTTGATTTTGCCAATTAGAATTACTTCTATTTAGCTTTTGTTAAAGAATGTATTTGTCAAGCACTTGTAAGTTGCTGTTATTGGCTGTTATGTTTTAAATACAAGGTGATGGTACAATTTATTTTTTGCCAACTTACAGGTATAATGGTTGTTACTATAATGTGTTTTGCCAAGTTTAAAATGCTGTTACTGATCATTATTGCAGACTGTGTTTTGCAAAGTTAAAGCTGCTGTTACTGGCAATAGAAGTTAGGTCAGAAGAAGGCAAGGAGAGCACACTAGCAATCAACCCAGGACCAAAAGTGAAACTAGAGACAGCAACGCAGGGATTCTTCATAGCAGAGTCGGCAGAGGAAGTTAAAAGGTAAACACGGTCTTTTTTGTTTCTTATTTACAGGCTTTGGTTCATTGAATATTTGCAGGCTAAATGAAAAGTTAAGATAATGCTAGGAGGTTCTCAGCCTTGGATACTATTTCTTTATGACTATGAAAATCTGTAACAGTTGTTATTTTAGTCTTATTTAACAATATTTGATGCTTTTACTATCATTTATTTAGATCACCTTTTACAACTGTAAGATTGTATAATTTACTTTCAGGGCCTATTATTACTGTAAGAGTTGCCATAGTGAAATATCTGATATTAGAATGATCAAGAAATGCAGATGTAGACCATGTAAGTATTATAGATATACCAGCAAACTACCTTAGCATCATGTATATATAAATCACTGGTCAGTTATTGAAACAAAACATAGCATGGGATAATATAATAATCCTAGTAAAGTAAGATATATTGAAATCAATGCTAGACTCACTCATGTCACATTAAGTTTGTAAGAAAATCACAAAATTTTAGTCTGGAATTGAAACACCAGACTTAAAAATGAGACAATCACGAGATCGATTTTTGCACTTTATTTTTTGTTTACAATTGTAAAGGGATGCATTTTTTATTTCGATTTCAAATGTGAACAGATGTTCTTTATATACATTAAAGAATGACAGGTTTTATAAAGTTGTAACATCTTGTGAAGTTCATTTAACCAGTACCAAAATAGAAAATTTTAGTCTTGTACAAACAATATATAAATCTTGAAACAGTTTTGACAAATTTAAAAACTGAATATCAATTGATCTATATTCTGTATAACACTGTAAATGTGAATAATATACATTGAATTGCAGATTAAAACTATATATCTTTTTTATGATGAAAAATAATAGAATTTTGTACTACCATATCCTTTATCAATATTAGAAATGATACAAGTATTTTTGATTTGAAATTAAAGAAAGTAAAATTACACAATCCTTGATTTAAAGTGTATTAAGGGATTTAAAATCTTAATTATAATATTAATATTTAACTTTAACGAATGCTAACCCAACCAATATACCAACATTGACAATACATACATTAGGTCATGGCATTCCATTTTACAACAGATACAAATAAATTAACAGGAGGAATAGTAAAGCTAAGAAGCTAAAGTAACTATGGTTTCTGTCTCTCAACTGATCATTGTTTCAAACCCTTATGGGGTCACAACCATGTTTGCTCGTACAATGGTCATGACCATGTTTCTTCATACAATGGTCACAACCATGTTTCTTCATACAATGGTCACAACCATGTTTCTTCATACAATGGTCACAACCATGTTTCTTCATACAATGGTCACAACCATGTTTCTTCATACAATGGTCACAACCATGTTTCTTCATACAATGGTCACAACCATGTTTCTTCATACAATGGTCACAACCATGTTTCTTCATACAATGGTCACAACCATGTTTCTTCATACAATGGTCACAACCATGTTTGCTTGTACAATGGTCATGACCATGTTTCTTCATACAATGGTCACAACCATGTTTCTTCATACAATGGTCACAACCATGTTTCTTCATACAATGGTCACAACCATGTTTCCTCATACAATGGTCACAACCATGTTTCTTCATACAATAGTCACAACCATGTTTCCTCATACAAAGATCACAGCCATGTTTCTTCATACAATGGTCACAACCTGATGTTTCTTCATACAATGGTCATGACCATGTTTCTTCATACAATGGTCACAACCATGTTTCCTCATACAATGGTCACAACCATGTTTCTTCATACAATGGTCACAACCATGTTTCTTCATACAATGGTCACAACCATGTTTCTTCATACAATGGTCACAACCATGTTTCTTCATACAATGGTCACAACCATGTTTCTTCATACAATGGTCATAACCATGTTTCTTCATACAATGGTCACAACCATGTTTCTTCATACAATGGTAACAACCATGTTTGCTCGTACAATGGTCATGACCATGTTTCTTCATACAATAGTCACAACCATGTTTCTTCATATAATGGTCACAACCATGTTTGCTCGTACAATGGTCATGACCATGTTTCTTCATACAATGGTCACAACCATGTTTCTTAATACAATGGTCACAACCATGTTTCTTCATACAATGGTCACAACCATGTTTCTTCATACTATGGTAACGACCATGTTTCTTCATACAATGGTCACAACCATGTTTCTTCATACAATGGTCACAACCATGTTTCTTCATACAATGGTCACAACCATGTTTCTTCATACAATGGTCATGACCATGTTTCTTCATACAATGGTCATAACCATGTTTCTTCATATAATGGTCACAACCATGTTTGCTCGTACAATGGTCATGACCATGTTTCTTCATACAATGGTCACAACCATGTTTCTTCATACAATGGTCACAACTATGTTTCTTCATACAATGGTCATGACCATGTTTCTTCATACAATGGTCACAACCATGTTTCTTCATACAATGGTCACAACCATGTTTCTTTATATAATGATCACAATCATGTTTCTTTATACAATGGTCATAACCATGTTTTCTTCATACAATGGTCACAACCATGTTTCTTCATATAATGGTCACAACCATGTTTCTTCATACAATGGTCACAACCATGTTTTCTCATACAATGGTCACAACCATATTTCTTCATATAATGATCACAACCATGTTTCTTTATCAGTGGTCACAACCATGTTTCTTCATACAATGGTCATGACACAATGGTCACAACCATGTTTCCTCATACTTTGGGAACAACCATGTTTCCTCACACAATGGTCACAACCATGTTTCTTCATACAATGGTCACAACCATGTTTCATCATACTATGGTAACCACCATGTTTCTTTATACAATGGTCACAACCATGTTTCTTCATACAATGGTCACAACCATGTTTCTTCATACAATGGTCACAACCATGTTTCCTCATACTTTGGTGACAACCATATTTCCTCATACAAAGGTCACGACCATGTTTCCTCATACTTTGGGAACAACCATGTTTCCTCATACTATGACCACAACCATGTTTCCTCATATATTGGTCACAACCATGTTTCTTCATACAAAGGTCACAACCATGTTTCCTCATACTTTGGTGACAACCATATTTCCTTGTACAATAGTCACAACCGTGTTTTGTCATACAATGACAGTATTGGTAAGTCCAAAAATGGAGCTCTGGGGTGATTTTGAATTAGTTCTGAACATGCATTACAATTGAACTGAAAAAAACATAAGGGACTAGTAATTGATTTAGAGCTACAAAATATCTGACAACTGAAAGCAAATAAAAGCTAGACTGTATCTACAATTTGTCAATGTTTGAATTAAGGAACTTTAATTGATATAGATTTTCTCCTGTTTACAGAAAACATTGTCAGTGCAAGCTAAAGTTAATCATTTATGCATTAAGACTTAAATGCTTACCCTGATAGGTCTTAAAAGCTGTTGTCAGCAGAAGATTCTGGTAATCTTCAAATCAAACCTTGGGTTTATAGGAGGAAATAAATATATTCCTGGAAACTTGATGGTTATCTATGGGCTTGACTGATTGATTAGGACAGTAGACTGGTCATAAATAAAGTCTAGACTGATTCTAGTAATTATTTTATCTCTTCTGTTTAGCAAGAGAAATCATGGCCGACTGTTAAAATGTTCTAAAATTACTGAGTATGTCCTTAAGCTGTCATACAATATAAGGGAGTTGATAGTTGATATATAAAAAAGGTAAAAATAGATTGA